AATGGCCCTTTATAGCATTTGAAAACAGAACTTACATTGGAACCATAGCCCACAGACCGTGGGTTGGGATTTATGACTGGAAGCTTACCAATTCAAGTGCCTGGTAAAACGATAATAACATTCTCCATAGATTTAAATAAGGCATAGGATTTTGTAAGAACAAGTTGTTCAGGATACAATTTATGTTGGCATATGAAGAACTACAAAAAATCTCAAATCACATGGAAAAAGACAATCAACAGATGACAATGGAACTATAAAGCAGCTATTATAAAATGACACAAATGAATAATCGTGAATCCTGAAGTGAAAGTTATGATAGAGAGTATCAGTAAAGAAATAGGAGATAGGAAGTAGAATCAAATGGAAATTCTAGAACTGAAAAATACAGTAACCTTTCCACCTCACCCTCCCCCTTCGAGGAAAAAAAAGACAAAAAATATCTCACTCTATTGATTTAATAACAGAATGGAGATAACCGAGGAATCAGTAAACCTGAAAATAAATCAATAGACCTGAAAATAAATCAGTAGACCTGAAAATAAATCAGTAGACCTGAAAATAAATCAGTAGAAGTTATCCAATGTGAACAAAGGAGAGGAAAAAGATTGAAACTATATTGAACAGAGACCCTGGGTCTGTTGGACAATAACAAAAGGCACAATGTTTGTATCACTGGAGTCCAAGAAGGAAAGGAGAAAAAGAATGTGGCTAAAGAAGTATTCCAATAAATAATGGTTGCAAGCTTTCTAAGTTTGGCAAAAGACACAAACCTACAGATTCAAGAAGCTAAGCTACCTCCAAACAAGATAAACCCAAAGAAATATACACACAGGCATATCATAAATGCTGCAAACTAAGGGCAAAGGCAAAATCTTGAAAGCAGTCAGAGGAAAGTGACACCTTATCTATAGGAGAACAGTGATTCAAATGACTAAGATTTCTTATCAGAAACCATGGAGGCCAGAAGGAAATGGCACACTATTTTTAAAGTGCTGAAGACCTTTTGAGATGAGGGAAAACCAAGAGAATCTGGAGTCAGCAGACCTACTATAAAATAACTAGTTAAGGAAATTCCTTAGACAGGTGGAACATGATACCAGAAGGAAATTTAGAATATCAATAATAGAGGAAATGGTAAATATAATAGACTCTTCTTCTCCTCTTGAATTATTTAAAATATGTTTCCTGATTGAAATAAAGTAAAACATTGTCTGATGGGAATTTTCAGTGTATTTAGATGTAGTATATAAGACAACTTATAAAGGGAGAGACTGAAGGGACCTGTATGGTGGTTTGGTAGGCAGAATAATCTCCTCCCTGTTCCCTGCAGATATCTATATCCTCATCCCTAGACCCTGAGAATATGTTACATTAAATGGCGAAAAGGACTTTGCAGATGGGATTAAGACTGTAGACCTTGAGATAGTGAGAATATCCTGTATTATCCTGGTTGGCTAAGCCAAATCACATGAGTCCTTAAAAGTGGAAGAGGAAAGGCAGAAGAATGGATCAGAAGGATGTAGTGTTGAGAAGGACTTTCCTGGCTGCTGTTGGCTTTAAAGATGAAGAAGAGGGCCAAGAAATGTGGGCAGCCTCTAGAAGTTGCAAAAGGCCCTCAGCTGACAGCCAGCAAGAAAATGGGAATCTCTTGGTCTGGAATGACCAAGAAAGATATTATCCTCTAGAACCTCCAGGAAATAGTGCAGCCTTGTCAACACCTTGATTTCAGCCTGATCAGATGTGTCTTGGACTTCTGACCTTCTGAACTGAAAGATAATAAATATATCTTGTTAAGCAACTAGGTGTGTGGGTTTTTGTTAGGGCAGCAATGGAAAACAAATGCATGTGATATGTTTTCCCTATTCCAAATGAAGTGCTAAATTATTAGTTCTAAGTAGAGTGTTAGAGGTTAACTATGCCTGTTGTAACTCCTATAGCAACCACTAAAATCTTATACAAAGAGACATAGTCAAAATCACCATTGATAAATTAACATGAAACACTCAAAAACGTTCAAATAACCCCTAAAAATGCAGGGAAGGGGAAACAAATAAGAAAAAAATAAAATGGCAGACCTAAATACAAACATATCATTTATTACATTAAATGTAAATGGTCTAAACAAACCAACTAAAAGCTAGAGATTGTCAGATTGGATTTAAACAGTGAGAAGGTGTAACAGTTGTAAACATGTATACAAATAACAACAGACTTCAAAATAAAGAAACAAAAACTGACAGAACTGAAAGGAGAACTAGGCAAATTCACAATTATAGTTAAAAAATCCAACACCCCTCTAGCTAATACAAGTAGTAGACAGAAAATCAGCAAGAGTGTAGAACTGAACCATCAACCAACTAGACCTAATAGATATTTATATAAAACGTCATTAAATGCTAGTTGACTCGAAATATTTCTAAAAGATTATAGAAACAATTCTTTTTAGCATATTTACAAGTTAAGCTATAAGATGTGAATTAAATAATGCATTTATGTGTTGCTAATGTGAAATACAAGTTTTTATTTAGAATAACAGTTTTAAAAGGAGCAAAAAGTTGTAAAATATTTTAAAATTTAAAGCCAGAATGAACCAATATGAAATAAGTGAAATGATAATAATTTAACAACTAGCTAACGTTGTATTAAAATTTTATGCTGTGCTGAATGCTATTCTAAGAACTTCAGATGGACTAATTCATTCAATCCTCACAAGAGCCCTGTGAGGTAGTTATGTTAAATTCATCTGTAAAATGGAAGTAATAATGAAATTCAGAGCTCTTAAGAAACTTGACTAAGATATCAAAATTGGGGATTATGACAACCATATCAATAATAAAAAGTAGCTTTTCTTGACTGAATACTTCCTCTGTATCAATACTGTGCCTTACACTTTATCTCATTTTGTCTGTAAACTGGGTAATATAGTCCGTATTGGATAGGTAAGAAAATTGAGGCATAGTGTGATGGGTTGCCCCTGATCGTACATCTAAGTAGGACATAGCAAAGCAGAATTCCAAACCATGGAGACTGTCAGGAGAACTCAGGGACTTCATCTCTGTATTGCCTACTAAAGATACTTGAATTCATCATAGGAACTGAGAATAGTTCATCCTCAGATGCTGGTGGTCATCAGGCAAGGGTTGTGGAGTCACATAGTCCTGACCTTCAAAAGGCATTGACTTCCCAAAGACTGTCCTGTCCTGGAGTAAGATAGGGCTGGGTACAAATGCTTGGAGTCCTTGATTTTAGAAAACATGTTTGTTGTGGCTCATGGCCTCTTTTTTCCTCAGCAAATGTGGCAAAGTAAGTACAGGCCTGGTCAGAGTGACCTGACAGCACTGTTCTTTGTCGTATTGGAAGGATTCATTATGAGGCACTTGACTCAGGGTTATTTCTCCAGATTTGATTTTGATTTTTCCCTAGAGAGTGCAACCTTTGTGTCTCAAATTACCTCTTTCTCTGCACTGCATTTATCATTACTCTGTTATTACATTTTTATTTGTGAGATATTCCTGTCAGTCACCCCCAGCAGTTTGTGGGAGATGCTTCGTCTCAATCTTACAGTCTCAAGTGGAAGCGTGGAAGCTTGCTTTTCCTACGTTTTGCTTTACCAGATGTTTTGTCAGTTCTTCTGACCTGGTACATTGGGATATGGGCAGACCTCTCACTTTTATAAATGATTTTCTCTCTAGGTACCTTTATTTTAATATAAATTTTAAGGATATTAGACGGAATTCTAGTTGATGTAAGCCTGTGTTTGTCCTTCAAAATGCACCCTTAACTCTGGAAAGGAAGATGGTAAGTTTAAAGCAAGCATTGGCAAACTTCTGTCTGTTGCCCATTTTTGTAAATAAAGTCTTATTGGAATATGGTCACACTCTTTTATTTGGGTGTTGTCTGTGTCTCCTTTGGTGCCACAACAGCAGAGTTGAGTAATCATGATACACCATCCAGTTCACAAAGTCTAAAATATTTGCTAATTGGCCTCATACAGAAACTGCCTACCCTTGGCTTAGAGACATACAAAAGCACCCCCTTGATCATACTGCTGAAAGATGCTATTATTGTTCTAATAAATGTCTCCAGCTCTGGTTTCTCTGGAGAGGAAATAAGAAAATAGTCTTTTTTTTTCTTTTTATAAATTTTTGCCCACACTTTATTGAGGTATAATTGAAAAATAAAAATTATATGCATTTAAGGTGTACAACATGATGATTTAATATACGTATACATTGTAAAATGATTACCTCCACAAGCTAATTAACACATCCATCACCTCACATAGTTGTTATGTTTTTATGTGTGTGGTAAGAACACATAAGATCTATAATTTCAAATACACATGGTTGTTATAAAACAGACAAGACGTAACGTGTTAATGAGGATGTGGATTATAGGTAACCCTTGTACACTGCTGGTGGGAATGTAAATTGCTATAGTCATTATGGAAGTCAGTTTGGAGTTTCCTCAAAAACTTAAAGCTAGAACTGCCATGTGAGAACCAGCAATCTCATGTCTGGATACATCCAGAGGATGTGAGATCCACATTTTGAAGAGATTTCTTCACTCCCTTGTTCATTGCAACATTCTTCACTGTCGCCAAGATATAGAAACAACCTAAGTGACTGTTGAGGGGTGAATGGCTAAAGAAAATGTGGTACATATATAATGGAATATTATGTAGCCATCAGAAGAAGGAAATCCTGCCATTTGCAACAACATAGACGAAGCTTGAGGACATTATGCTGAGTGAAATAAGCCAGGCACAGAAAGCGGTCTTCCTGTGAAGCATTTTTTTGTGTCAACCTCATATTTTCGTTCATTGCTTTAACTTTTCTATAACTACTGTGATAAAAATCTTAAAAATTCAGTTCCTTGAAGATGATTTCCCCAACATTTGTAGACATTACCAATCCAATGTTTCAATCTTGTTCACTGTGAAGTGCCCTACCACCAGAGAAGTTTCATGTTCTCTCTCCCTTTTTTCTGTTTTCTAGGAGTCACTGCAGTTGTCTTTAGTACAGACACACTCTTTTCGGGAGTGACTTCTTGGTTCCTTCATGCGGCCATGGATCTGGACAAACCGTCTGTCTGGGGCTCATTAAAACAGCGGACCAGGCCTTTGCTAATCAACTTGAGCAAGAAGAAGGTGAAAAAGAACGCAAACAAACCCCTCGACGTAAGGGCAAGGCATGACCTGGATCGCCGCCTCAGCATCTCCGTCCCTGACCTCTTGGAGGCTGAGGCCTTGGCCCCGGAGGGTCGGCCGTACTCCGGGCCCCAGTCGTCCTATACCTCAGTGCCCAGCAGCCTGTCAACTGCAGGCATCTGTCCCAAGACTAGCGGTGGCTCCTTGAAACAGTCTGAAGAGGAATTGGATTGGAGCCAGGAAGAAGCAGGCCACCTCCACGTGGTGGAAACGGATTGCGAGGAGACCTACGCCTCTCCCGCCGAGGACAGGAGCGCTTCCAGCAATGGCATCTTTGATCTGCTCCAGAAAACTCCCCTCGGGGAGGATGCCCTGGAAGAGCCAGAGGTGAGACCGGGGCTGGGCGCCTTCCTGGGGGTTTTTTTGGTCTTTTTTTCTTCTTTTTAAGTGCATTCAGTGCCCTTGGAAAATTTGGTTAGGAGTTATTTTTGTGGTTAGCTTGGATGGAGAGAATGTCATTTATAAGAATTTAAATAAAGGCAATATTGATTGTACCCACTGTTCCCATTAGATTTAGGGTTGACCTCTATACAAATAACTTTCTCGGACATTTGAAGTCATTAAAAGCCCTATTGGATGAGTTTTCCTTTTTCCATCTCCTGGCAAAGAAATTAAAAGTGTAACTTTGCGTCTTTTTGCTTAAGTGTGTGTCTCTCTCTCTTTCTGTATTTTTCTCTCTACACCATTGCCTAGTCCTACCATAGACAAAAATGCATACTAATATTCCTAAGAAATGGATGAATGGATTTCTCCCTTTGACTGCCAGAGCATTTGAATTTCCTCCTATTTCACGTGTGTGCATGTGTGCACTTGTATACATATACACACTTGTGCACACTTATCTGCGGGAACTTCATTTGCATTCTCTTAAAAAAAAGGGTCAAAAACTAAAGGAAACAAATTCCTATCAATTCAGTGACTTTTACAAAACTTTGGTATTTCAATAAGATCAGACAGGCAAACATAATTATGAGACAAAGCTTATATTTCTAGGAAGAGTTTCATTTAAATTCAATCACCAGATTGTTAAATCATGATTTGGATGATCAATTTAATCAGATTCTTTTTAAATTCTTCCATTAATAACACTGAAGTAGGTCACAATATTGTGGTAAGGGGTTAATTTTTCTATATTCCAGGTTAGTGTTATAATTGCATAGAAAACCAGTTATTCAACTGGGATTTTTGATTTTACTTTTAGAATCAAAGCCTATTAATTATGCCATATATTTCAGTTTCGTTGGGGAATGGTATGGTACATGTTCAGGGGATGCTGTGGTCAGATTCTTTAAATGACTTTACTATTTTTTTTCATTACCATTAACATTTATGAAATCCTCATTGTAACAACTTTATGATTTTTACTGTTATTTATAAATTTGAAATATGTTTTCACTAATAAAAATATAAGTTAAGTAAATTATTCAACTAGTTCAGCTTGAAGGAGGTAACACGTTGAATTATATACTGAAGTTATCTTTATTTTCTTGTCACTTATTTACTGCCCAGAAGAAAACGGGTGGGCTTTTTGGCTTTGATATGCTAACAATTTCAAATTAGAAGAATTTTTTTTAAGTTAGTGCTGTTTAACTATTTTAGCATTTCAGCAGACTTTGATGAATATAGAAATTTGAATGCCTTCTCTAACTCAGGCACCGTAAATGTTACTATTGGTATTAGAGATGGATAAGACAGTTAACCAGCCCTAAGTTAGAATTTATTGGGGGGCACCTTGCAGAGCACTAAGTATAGCACAAGAGGCAGACAGGTAACAGGATGGTCTGTGCAAAACATCCAAGCCTTATCTCCTGGTTGGAGGAGACCAGTGTGTGGGGACCAGGGGCATGTCATGTATGAGACAATCCCCAAGCTAGCACAGAGGATAAGTAGGATTTGACAGGTGAGGAAATATGGTGAACATGAGTCTGTGTGTGGATGGGGGCAGTCGGAGGTGGTGAGCATTTTGCTCTGCATGGAACAGAGGCTTGGGGAGCTTCCTGGCGTGACATATGTGGGCTGTGCTGAGGGGCTGGTGAGTGACAGTGGATGGATGGTTGACAGATGGAGGGTTGGGAGTGGTTATTTTCTCTTCTCTGGGCTAAGTGCAGAAAAGCCTGGAATACACAGACCTTTAAGAATAGGTTATTCCGGGTAATTTGATTTTCTCTTTTAACTCAGCCATTTTTTTAAAAAAAATCTTCGTTCTTGAAAAAGAACCTTCTGCTTCTCTTTCCCTGCCCTAGGAAGTACAAGATAGAGACTGAGACTGATTCTTTCACTGCCACCTGAGTACCACTTATCTGCTTGGTGGTCTGTTTGCAGAGAATGGAGGGTCTGGGCTGCAGCTAATCAGGCCTGTAGGAGCATTTGTGGTCAAGTGCATTGTTCTACCTAACCCTGCCTCCTTCTCCTCCTCCTCCGACTCCAAGTTGTCTTGAGTGGCAGGGTCTGTATTGGGTGGGCCCCTCCCATTCCCTGAGGATCTAGTTTATCACATGGTACAGAAATTAGCACTCCCTTGCTGTCTTCCCTACTAGGCTATGTTAATTTGGGGGCTGGGCCTGGCTGGGGGCATCCTGTCTAATTTGTCTTTGTTTTCTCAGGGCCTAGCTCGATGCCTGACAGATAGTATGTGCTCAGTCAATATTTATTTAATACAGAAATCACTGAGAGCAGTGTATGCTTTCAGGTTAATGGAGTTTTTGTTAATGTCTTTATTGTGAGTTCTCTTCTTTAGTTTATGATTAAATTAAAGGCAGCATTTGTTTTTTTGGGAAAAAACCCCATCATACTATAAATCTCTTTTTATGTGATATTAATAGAAAATAGATTTAGGCAGGTGTAGGCTTTTCAGCTCAAGTCTAATACGAATTTTACATCTGAATTTATTGTCTCTGTCTTTTTTAAAATGAAGATGGGAGTCCTGGCTGAATTCACGACATCTGTGAGTTTTGGAGTTGGTTAGTCGTATCTCAGGTCTGGTCCATTTGTTTCTTCCTAATAAACTGTGAAATGCCTTCTCTCGCTTTCATGGCATAGGGGAAGAAATGAGGAGGAAGGAAGGGGTTGACATGTGACAAGCCCAGCATACAACAAGGACAGTCAGGTGTTTGCGCAGTATCCTTGGTGTAAGTTACTTTGTTTGTAGCTCTCCGTCTGGTCTGAGGCCCCACTGGGGTTCACCTGTTTTATGCCCAGTGCTGATTTGGTTCCAGGCTGAGCTGCAGCAGTGGGATAGGAGCCCTAATCTCTAACTTGTCTAAATATTCTACAGTCACTTTCCAATCCTGCCAGTGTGAGCAAAGGAAGTAAAGTGTTGGCTTATAGTTATGAGGAAATAGACTGATGAGGCAAAGAAGAAAGTTGAGGATAAGGAAAGAGGAAGAAAGAATCAGAGAATGTGGAGGCCAGGTGGAGGCTAGAATAGTCTCAATGCAGGTGCTCAAGCAGGCTATGAAACCAAAATGGGAGGAAGTAGGTTTAGAATAAAGGAGACGGTGGTGGAAGAGGGTTCTCCAGACTCTCTCTCTTAAGCCCCGGATTCATATCGCACCCACAGAAACTCGGTCTCAACTTTCTTGGCAGAATTCCCTGTCTCTCTGAAGTGCCCTCACATATCCAGACCATCATTTCTCGGCAACATTGCCATTATTCACCTAGTTGCTCAAGCGAAAAACCTGTGAAGAATGTTAGACTGTTTTACTCTCCTTGCTTTTCACATTCTATGAAGTCTTCATTTATCCATTTCCCATCGCTCTCCTCCTCCCTTACATACCTCATTCTTCTCTCACTGAAATCCTCTCACCCTTCAAGGCCCAGCTAAAATATTCCTTCTTTGTGGTGCTTTTCTCAGCTCTACAATTAATATGCTCACCCTGCCTTCGTTTGCACAGCGTGCCACTTTTACTATTACCGAGCATTAATGTCATTCTGCTTTCTGTGGAAATCTGTAGTGAGAAAGGGATTTGAACAGATAGAGGAGAGAAAGTGGGGCAGGCAAATGGGTACTGGGCAAGAGTGTCACTGGGTAAGACCCTGAGAAGGTCACCAGGCTCCAAGACCTATATATACTGTCCAGGGACCATCTGCTCTGCGAACTTCTCGTGACAACCAGACGATAATGAGACTAGCTACAAATGACAGTCACAACTAATTTGCAATGACAATTAAATACTATGTAGACCCTAATGTTCATTTTGATATAAACAGCGGAGTCTTTCATTGTTTTCAAGATACTTTGGAAGTCAACTCATAATTAACACCTACTTCGTTAACTTCTTAGGAGAAATTATTCTTTCAGGGCCTTTTTGTAACTTATTATACTTGGAGAATGTATGTTACCTTCATTTCCTCACCAAAGTCAGCCTATGTGAGAAGTCACTTAGAATCAGGAGATTGCTTGGTGAGTGGGAATCACCACGAGAATAGATAGGTTCCACACCAAATGGCATCTGTCGTGCCATCCATCTCACAATAGGGATTGAGCTGCAAATGAGAACTGGACACACTCAAACTTTGTTTGCCAGGGCCTCCTACTTTCCATCTCCACATGCCAACCTGCCTCGCCAATGAAGCCAGGATTCTTAAAGTCTTGTGGCACAGGTTCTCTCTTCCCTCTGTAGGGTTCAAGGGCAGGTCCAAACCTTTACCTAAGCTTCCTTGTATGACCTCTTTCTTTTTTAGGTTGACACATGATGTTCTTAGTTATATTACCACTTTCAGTCAGACTAATATCCTATCACGGTTGCCCAACAGCCAGGTTGTCTCCTTTAGGTGACTTTGTATGTCTGGCCTCTGCTGAATGAAAGGTGGTCTTAAAGTTTCATTTTCATTGCTCTCGTTACTCAGACTTGGGACTTGAGAGGTGGCAAGGGCACATTACACTACTGCCGAACACCACTGCCACCTTGTACAGTCATCTGTTGCTTAACGAGGGGGAGATGTTCTGAGAAACGCATGGTTAGATGACTTTGTCATTGTGCGAACATCATTGAGTGTACTTATACAAACCTAGATGATGTAGCCTACTAGATATCTAGCTATATGGTACTAATCTTATGAGACCACCATCATATATGTGGTCTGTTGTCGACTGAGACATCCTTATGCGGTGCGTGACTGTATTTAGTTAGTTGTTTAGAAGTCAGGCTCTTGTTAGATTGGAAGCTCCTGAAGAGTAGAGATGATGTCTTCTTCTTCTTCTCCCAGCCTTTCTGCAAACCTTGCTTATGTGAAATATACTGATTCATGTTGTCTCTGCAGTTAACTTTCAAGCCACAGACCACTCAGTGCTAGGTGCTGTGGGGGCCCTAAGAAAGTCACTTGGG